CTGATATCCACTGTGGAAACTGATATATTCTGAACTCTTGGTCCTGATATCCACTGTGGAAACTGATATATTCTGAACTCTTGGTCCTGATATCCACTGTGGAAACTGATATATTCTGAACTCTTGGTTCTGATATCTACTGTGGAAACTGATATATTCTGAACTCTTGGTCCTGATATCTACTGTGGAAACTGATATATTCTGAACTCTTGGTCCAGATATCCACTGTGGAAACTGATAAATCTGAGTTTCAACTATCCAAGATATCCAAGAGAAATAAATTTAATCTTTCAAATGACAATAGATCCGTGTAACTTTTGAGTCAGTTATTAACAACACAAAAATTTTGACCTCAGCTTGAAAAGATATGAGGATTAGAAAATTTTGGCTTAATGCAATGATGACAATGCCTGATTTACAACCGTCGTGCCCTTAACAGCTTTGTCTGATCAAGGTTGTATTATAGATATTTATGTTTTTGTTTCTTCAAACTGTGCAATAGAGAAACTCCCAGAGAGAAACACTTAACGCTTCCAGTCCATATTCAAGATTTAAGTATTTATTTATTTCATGTTGACAATTATTTTAAGGTTGAAATAGCATCGTCCCTGGACTTCCTATGGAAGGAGCAGGCCCAGAGAGAGAACACTGAGATGGAAGAGATGAGGAGACATACTAACCAACTTCTTCAGGGATATGATATTTAGATTTTAGTTTTGTCAAATACCAACTCTAAGTTGGAGGTGTGTACTCTGTAAGTCAACGTTCGTATTTTACTAATATGGAAAAGCATTATTGTCATTCTCTAGCAACTGAATTTCTAGATATTTTGCTTCTAGCATTCATATCTGCACAGACTCGTCTATATTGTCTTTACATATAGCTATACCTTATTATTTGATTTGGTCATTTTTAGATTGGAAGAAAGAAGTTTACCTAGATAGTAGATATAGATCTTACTAAATATTTGTTTTCCTTCAATTTTCCATCATGTTCTAGGTTACATTTTAAAAGAGAAGTTTTTTTGTCGTCCCCATAACCAGCAATAAATTATCGGTATTAGAATTTCGTTGTAGACACCCTGTTCCAACACTCTGTATGTGTTTTAATTTGCAGATTGTCTAGCTTGGTTTTATATTTCGCTTTATTTATTGCAGTTATCATGAATGTTGACTCATTACAGCTGATCAGACTGTTTTAAAATCAGAAGGGAAGGGTCGGGTGGGCCAGGGTTTCTACAATTGTATTCTAAGCAAATCTAGACCTGCCAGCATCGGATAAAAATAATTATAGCATATTATCATATCATTATATTATGGTATATAATTTCTTCAAGGCGGTCTTATATAAACCCTTTTTCAGATTTTGAAATCCCATCCTTTAAGATCCATCATGGTTATCCTCTTTATATCTCTAGCCTATATATTATTGAATTACCATTACCAATACCATTAGAGCTTGATTGCAAAGAAAAACTATTTAGTTTACAAGTAACAAAGCTTAATAACCAGCTAATACTCTAATTCATATATATAGTGGAGAAAACTTTCTCTTTCTTGTATCATGGGAATAGAATTTAGAGTAACCCACACCTTCTTGAATACATTTAGATATTGCGGATATCATATTTTTCATCTTTACAAAAAAAGAAAATATTAACACTTAAAATATTTGTTTCGCTAGAATCTGCTTCCATTGCATGTTGCAAAATTCTTCCTTCAATGTGAGAGGTAAATATTATTTTGCATTGCTTAAAGGGACTGTAAAGGAAAAATGAAAGGGGTTATAGCCTATAGGATGAAACCTGGGAATCTCAGGACTTGAACGATACCTATAAGACATCTATCTGATGTTCCTGTCTCGTGAAATTGACATAAAACTGTGTCAAAATTATACCAAAACGTATATATGTTAGATATACGTCCGAATCACGTGACCAGAACTCCCTCCAATGGCAGTGCAGTATACTGGTCACCTGATACAGACGGAGACATGTGAAAATAATACCGAACTGCCATTGGTTGGAGTTCTGGTGACATGTTCTGGACGCATAAATAATATTATCAATTATATCTATTAATTCTTTTTTCTTTTTTTTATAAAATGTGAAGTTTAAAAACTTATAAATACATGTATATATATAAAATACATCTCAAAATCAAATATTAGGTTAGGGATAAGAAAGAAAAAATACAAAAATAAAGTAGCCCTGGAACATTGCATGCAGGGTTTCATCTTTAGCCAGTTCCCAGGAAGTTTTTACATCTTCTTTTTGACTTTAAGCATAGTTTTTAAGCTTAAGAATTTATCGAATGACCGAAAATAAAGATTTAAAGAATAATGCTAAACAGCATTGATTTTATTCTCCATATTATTATTTCCAAAATGACAAATTATCTAATTACATTAAATGTATTTACACATAAACTTATGTACTATTAAAATAAAAACTACAAAATTCCATTTTAAAAAATGTATTTTTTTTAAATTAAAAAATATGTCATAATGCCATATTTCTTGATAGAAAAAGCTTATAGATAATTTTTATGTTTTCACAGCTCAATTATATTCATGTTACCTACTTTTGCTAGAAATTTTATTTTTATTTAAACTTTGATAATAGATATGATAAAGAATTTTTTACTTCAAATTTAAATAGGTTTTTAACTTAAACCTTTCATTTATTAAATAAAAATATAAATTCATTAAATAATCTCCATATTATCTCTTTTCAAAGAAAAAATGAATGCTTTGATATTTAAAACTTTAGAAATTGCGAAGATCTATTTGCGGAAGGTAGACAAAATGCTGGAGTAATGTTTGCCAGTATACCTAACTTTACAGAGTTCTATTCAGAGGTAACATAACTTTACAGAGTTTTATTCAGAGGTACCATAACTTTACAGAGTTCTATTCAGAGTTAACATAACTTTACAGAGTTCTATTCAAAGTTAACATAACTTCACAGAGTTCTATTCAGAGGTAACATAACTTTACAGAGTTCTATTCAGAGGTAACATAACTTTACAGAGTTTTATTCAGAGGTAACATAACTTTAGAGTTTTATTAAGAGGTAACATAACTTTACAGAGTTCTATTCAGAGGTAACGCTAACTTTACAGAGTTTTATTCAGAGGTAACATAACTTTAGAGTTTCTATTCAGAGGTAACATAACTTTACAGAGTTCTATTCAGAGGTAACCTAACTTTACAGAGTTCTATTCAGAGGTAACATAACTTTACAGAGTTTTATTCAGAGGTACCATAATTTACAGAGTTCTATTTAGAGGTAACATAACTTTACAGAGTTCTATTCAGAGTTAACATAACTTTTACAGAGTTCTATTCAAAGTTAACATAACTTTACAGAGTTCTATTCAGAAATAACATAACTTTACAGAATTCTATTCAGAGTTAACATAACTTTACAGAGTTCTATTCAGAGGTAACCTAACTTTACAGAGTTCTATTCAGAGGTAGCATATCTTTACAGAGTTCTATTCAGAGGTAACATAACTTTACAGAGTTTTATTCAGAGGTAACATAACTTTACAGAGTTTTATTAAGAGGTAACAAGTTTGGATAAAAGTCTCAGGAAAAATTTAGTTTGAAAGTTTATTCCAATCATTTCGGTTAATTTTTTGTTTTCAATCAGATAGACATTGACGTGTTCGTTGTCACAGCATGAGAATATTTAGTATGTTTTAAAAAATTAATGCATTAGAGCATTTAAGAAAAGGAAAGATAGGAAAGGTAAAAGAACTTAATTGGATGAAATGAGAGGGTTTTACATGTTTTGGAATAAGTTCTGCACAGTAAACTCTTGTCATTGGGAAACTTCAACTTGCACTTTAACAACTACTTCTTGTCTAGGATATCAACGAGGGTGTTGAATGTATTCGACTTCTGAACGAGATAATTGTCGATTTCGACCAGATTCTAGACGACGAGAAGTTTGAAACTGTCGAGAAAATAAAAACTGTAGGTAAAGCTATTCTAAATTATTTTAAAAACCATAGAAATAAAAATAAAACTTAATATTGGATAAAAAAGATTTAAACTAAATTGTTTTGTCAAAATAATTATAACTTGGATACAATTTACATAAATCAATGAAATAGAAACAGTAATTTTGTTTTAAGGAAGTACTTATATGGCAGCTAGTGGTATTTCTCCTGCGCAGATATTGCAGGTCTAATATTTATATATCTTTTAATAATCTTAAAATTGACATTTTACTTTCTAAAAATAGAATTAATTCTTTTTGTAAGTACGACACATAGTAACACATACTCTGGTAACTGAAAGCATGCGTTTTTGAATATTCTAACAAATAGTTTATTTTCAGTAAGGTTTCCATAGTTCAATTCAAAACCATTTTGGATTATTGGAACTATTTTTCTCTCAACCTTATTATTTGGATGTATGTAAAAATATGACCAATAATTCAAACCAATATGTTCCATACTCATTTGAATTATTTTAAAAAATACTTGAAATGAACATAAAAATTTAAATGAACAAAACAAAAATAGTTCAAATGAAAACAATTAAACAACAAATTACTTCAAATGAACAAAAAAGTATTATAGATACAAAAAAATTTAAATGAACAAAAATAAGTATGTAAAAAAAATATTATTATTCTACAAGAACTTTGTTAATGAAAATATGATTTATTAGATGATAAAAATACGTTGATATTGAAACTAGAGAAATACGAAAACATTTTTCCCATTCTGACAAAATATCCATGTTTCGTTTTGTAGGACCAATTTGCGCATTTATGTGATTTGGTGGATTTTGCTACAGAGATGACGATTAAGGCAAGTCTCATTAAAAATATATTATAACAACAATAGTAACAGTAATAATGATAATAATAATAATAATAATAATAATAATAATAATAATAATAATAATAATAATAATAATAATAATAATAATAATAATAATAATAATTATAATAATAATAATAATAATAATAATAAAAATAATTATGTTTAGTTGGAGGAGATAAACAAACATTCGTTCAACAATTTTCAACTTAGAATTGGTTTGGCAGTTGGACCATTAGGTAAACTGTTAAGGGTTAATTGAGTAGAGGAAGGGCAACCTAAACAATTTCTCATCTCAGCCGAATTCGTTTCATTTTTTGTCCGAGGCACCTCGAAATCCAAGTCCTTATGCTTTTAAAGTTTCAAATGTTGTTAAAACTTTTAAACTGTTTTCTATAAAAAGTCGTTCTAGAAATACTGTAAACAATTTCTTTGGTTTATGAAATATCAAAAATAAACTTAAACGTTTCTGAAAACCTTTTATTTTTCATTTAGTGAGCGGCGTCATAGGCGCTACAAAACCGGTTTTTGATATCTGGGGAGATACAGTTAACGAGGCGAGCAGGATGGATAGTACAGGAGTACTCGGCCACATTCAGGAACCGGTTCTATCAGCTTTAAAAGATTAGAAATTTTATCATATTTTATTATTAGATATTGAATTAAAAATGTTATTTTGATTGATGATTGATTGATATTCGATTAACTAAAAGTTGATCAAAATATAATTGATTATTTGATTTTTAAAAACATATTCAATTAATTTTTTTCTTTTATAATTAGATGAAATAATGAAGGTCCTAAATAAAAATTTTTCCTTTCCTTATCCGCACTAACGTTTACAAGTTCTCGTTTTTTCTGTCTTATTGCCTGTCAATGTTTGGTGCTCATTATTAAAAGAATTATAATGAGATAAAATTTTTGGGCCTTTTTAAGAAGGATTGATATAACACAAAAATTATCCCTGTGACCTTTCTAAAATATCAACAATTAATTGATCATTAAAACTGGTTTCATTTGGTAGGCTTCTCAGAGAACAGCTCTTATTTTAGCAGACAGGGGATATGTTATAAAGGAGAGAGGAATCGTTAACGTAAAAGGTAAACTAATGTGGTTTAGATTAAAAGGTATGTTATCTTTTTGATATATTATTCATAGCTTGAAATATCAAAGGTTTTCGACCACCAGTGATTGACACTTTTGTATGAGATACATTCTGNGAAAAAACTCAATGCTTATAATAACATCACACTGTAGATAAGATCAGTGCTAGAAACTTAATTCCCTCAAAAATAAATGTTTTCTATTTTTGTACACTGTATTGTAAACAATTTATGCATAAAGCTCATGACAAAATGCCTGGATATAGAAGCGGAGGATTCACCGACATAGGGTACAACGATCTAGGGTCAAACGACAAACAGTCAAAAACGTGACAAACGTTTAAACGACAAAGGGTAAAACGACATTGGGTTAAAACGTGCAACAAACGGGCAAAATTTCATATAGACTTTTGTTGGTTAATTTAAACTATTTTTATGTTTATTAGAACTAGTAGCCGCAGCGCTCGGCCCCCTAGCCTGTACTAGCCGCAGCGCTCGCCCCCAACCTTGTCTTAACCTAACCTAGCCCTGAAATAATACATATTTTTAAGTTAGGTCTTATGTTCATTGAACCAATAGCCGCAGCACTCGGCCCAGAAATTGTCTTAACCTAACCTAACCCTGAAATAATACATAAATATTTTTTTCCCCATTTTGACCCTTTGTCGCGTTTTTGACTGTTGGTCATTTGACCCATATATATATATATATATATATCTATATGTCAGAGCAATAGCTGGTTAAATGGCTAGACAAAATTGGGTGACATGGTTTTTTTCAAAATAAATTTTTTTAAATAAACTTTTTTTCAAGATTTAATTTTTTTTATTTCCACGGGCAACGTCGAGCACTTCAGCTAGTTATAATTCCTAAAGATGATGTCATTAATAACCCTTTACTATAACTGCAATACTAATAGTCAACATGTTTCTAACAACCTTATCGAGATATATATTCCAATCTAATGATAATTGGTAAATTATTAAAAAAGAAACATTCAAACATAATAAAATATTTGCTGCAAGTATTTTATACTGGCCAAACTGCATAAAAATTCCGGCTGATTTAATGGAAAATCCATTTTTCTTTATCCGAATATCCCGAAATTTCACGAATATAACTTTTAAAACGGCAAAAATCGTAAAATAAAACCAGCCCCGCAACTTTTATTTCACCATGATATTAATAAAGATCACTTTAAACAGGAAAGGGGGAGATGAGAACATATTTTGTGCTGGGACGGCGGATATCCAGGGCGTGGCGGACAGGCCGCGGAAGTGGAACAGCCAATAATTCCCTGGCGGAGGTTGTTTACGGAATGGTTCGAGCACGGCGGAGAAGAACTATTAAACAAGATAAAGCAAAGTAAGAATTGAATATAACTAAAAGTGCCGGGTTCTCTTAAAGTAAAAAACATTATAGTGATACTCTAATAGTAATTAAAAGGCACGATTATGAAGTCTTTTTTTAATAAATGTAACTATTGCTTTCATGTCAAATATTTTAGCAAAATGGTATATTTACTATTTAGTAAATGAATCAGTTGTAGTGGTTTTGAATGACTCTATGTATCTATTAATATTAAGCTTCGACCTCAAGTTCTTTAGCGAACACCTTAGTGCGTCCAAAGTTAAAAGATTTTCCATTTATACAAATATAAATATAAATATTATATAAAAAGAAAGAACGAAAAAAAGAAAGACTTGATTTTTCTATTGCTATGTATGAGAAAGAGAAAAAAGAATTCAAATACGAAAGTTTATTATCACCAATCTCCATTCTTCATTCTCCACGCTGCACAAAGGAAGAAAACAATCTAATATCTGTATTAACTAGAAAGGAAGAAAACAATCTAATATCTGTATTAAATAGAAAGGAAGAACGAAAGGAAGAAAGAAAAGATGATTTGCAGGAAGAAATAGGGTCAGAAACTAATCTTCCTTTACCTCAGGTATTTATTCTTATTCAGGGTGATTATTGAGCATTTTCGTTTGTGCTTATCCTAAACTATAAATCTATTATAAGAGTGACTGAGATCTGATATTTGAACAGTTTTGTTTAATCCAATCAAAACAATTCTGGTGCTTCCCAAAACCATTGAAATTCTACGATTTACGACTTTACACACTTTCTGTTTAGGATGCCAACATAAAATCAAGAAACAATCCCATTAGAAGAAGCTTACGGTTAATTATTATCATTATATTGTTGCTATCAATATCTGTATTTTATGTAAAAGTTGTAGGAAGTGTTATAGTTAAATCACAAGTTTAAAAGTATCAGCCCTGAGATGGAGTTTAAAGAATTTGAGCCGCGGTTTAAATCCGCCAAAATCCGCCAAAACCCGGTTTAAATTTAGCGCCGGCTTAAATCTTGAAACATTTGATACAATTTTAAGTGGAACCAACCATATTTAAACCGCGGCTTAAATTTAAACCGCCGCTCAAATTCTTTAAATTCGGACACCGGTTTATTATCATTTGTTAATTAGTATATTTGTAGAAGACTGAATACTCTGAGAGGTGTGCGAAGCGGACCATTGACTGAACCTTCTAAATTTGAGAGTGAGCAAATGAGCAAAGCGAGTGTAGTCATCTGAATAAAATCTTGAAAAATGATGAATTGGGGCCAAAATTCTATTTATTTATATAGAAATATCCATAAACAGACAATAAAAATCTGTATGTGCAATTTCTCTGTTATGTCAATGAATGTATTTTTATGTTATTTTTATCATTTTCTCAAACTAACTGTTGGAAGACGTCTTATGTTTGTAATTTAATTGTAAACTAAAACTAATATTTTTAGTATCAGTTTTATTTTTCAAATAAAACTGTGGCCCGAGAAAAAGCCGATTTATCATTAAGAATTCAAGCACTAACGTAAATCTCAGTTAGATAGCAACTAGATCAATGTTTTTTCGGTAACAATAGCCCAAGAAAATCTTAAATTATTACATTTTAATGACATCATGCAAGAAATTATCGTTTTTCCTCTTAAAAAAATTAACAAAGTACAAAGACAGCCTTCTGTCCGATATCCGCGTTTTAGATTTTAATACGCTTTCATACGCGCCCAGGTAATGTATGAAGATTTAATATGCTTTTTCAGTGTACTTTTTTACAAAATCATGTCGTAGGTAGGAAAAATCATACATCAGATTTTATTTTTTTTTTAAATTTACTTTTTGGTCTTTTTTGTTTATTGTATTGCTTTTTTGCTCACTTTTTTCCTCAATAAAGCGAAATTAACATCAGCTGTATATTCAAATTTTGCTGTTCACTTTGTGTTGCAGAGTATTACAGAAAATCACGTATTAAAAAAAAGTAATTATAATATGATAATATGTTATGCTCTCTTGTGTTTTTATTTAAATATTTACTAACCTCAACACTTGGCCCAGAAAACTGATGCAATGCTTCGATTAACCTAAAATTTTCACAAATACTCATATTGGGCCGGATATTACCCATTGAACCTGGTGAACCTGCGCACCCCCAAAAATTGTTTAACTCCCTGAGACATCCTGCATCCTTTAAAGAGAATCTTACCTGACCTTAAAACATTGGAATTAAAGAGACTGTAAAGGAAAAATAAAATCGGGGAATAGGTTGAAACCTATAGCATTCTAGGAGTTGATCGTATAGGATTACATGTTCAAAGAAGGACCAAAACTAATCAAAAGGGGACGGTCCCAATGTCCATATGCCATATATGGGGACCTCGTATATAATTTGAAGATCAAACAAGGATATGGGGATCAAAATGGCCACTCGTTCATTAGTATGTTCATTGCTAAAGTACAACGTTTTTAACTATGTTTCACAGTCTAATTAAAGGGAGTGTTCGCGAAAAATGAAAGGGGGTATAGGCTTAATGCGATAAAAAGCGCTTTTGATCGCTACTAATCTTTTTTCTAGCTGTTGCGTCTATAAGGAGAAAAATGTTAAAAACGACTAATACCGAAGAACGTAGTGTCCATACAAATTTAGAAAGATGCAACATATGACTTAGACCGTAAAAAATCTATTTAATTTCAAACAAATCATTCAGATATTTCAACCTATAGTCATCGATTATCTTTCGCCACATTTGTATATAGTTGACTTTTTATAATATGTTTTGATTTTATTTTTTAAAATAATATTTAGCTTACAACTTGTTTTCGAACATTCCTGGAAAATATTAAAATGTCGTCTTCATTACCAAAAATCCTCGAAACAGGAATAAATGTTTTTATAAGTAACTCTCAGACCATAACATACCCTTTAAAATCTATCAGATTAACAAACAATGACAAAATCTCTTTAGAAGGAAACCTTAATTGAAAATTATCAGTTTTAAGCTAGAAATATATGGATATCTCTTTTATCCTTGATCTGACAAGGAGTATCTAAAACTGTGCAGACAGTCCCTTTAAGTAATGATATGACGGACAGTCCCTTTAAGTAATGATATGACGGACAGTCCCTTTAAGTAATGATATGACGGCAATGGACAGTTCTGTGTTCTATATCAGTAAATGTCCGTTTCCTAAATAGTATGCTATGTAGGACAGCATATATTCAGTTTCAATAAATTCAAATATACTGACCAAGAAACCAATAAGTAATTCAGAAAGAATGTTATTATTTTGTATTAATAACTACTTCATTGCAGAAAATTAAATAACACATAGTTTTTAGTTTAATTACAATAAAAAACTGATTCCTCAACCTTATATCTTTACAACTTGATGACGTAAACCTTTGATATTTCTTAATTTTAATTTGTATAGCTATAAATTAGTCAAAGTTCAAGATTTCAAAAATACAGGGATTGGAAAATTAACGTTTGAGGCAAGTACTCAGTTTTTTAGATATGTTACAAAATTCAGAAAAAATATAAAAAATGGAAAAAGAAAAGAATAAAATTTATTGCGATTGCAAATTATTAAAATACTTTTTTAATTAGAAGAAAGAATAAAAATGACAATAATTACAGCTTTCTGGTTTTCACTGTATGCTTAAGTACTTGTTGCGCTAATTTGGAGCCTGTTCTTGGTTTCTATTGGAATTTAAAAGGAACGGTATCTGCTGTATCATTTTTGTACACTTGATGTATGTGCTGCATATCTTACATATCCAATCTCTTTGTAACACTGAGATGTAGAATATTTGGGCCGGCTTTATCTTCTCTAAATCTGTCATTAGTTTTTAACCCCTCTGAGAGATTTGAACATGTCTAGAGCGAGAAATTTGATTTGGGAAAAATTTCAAGTTCTCAATATTTATCCAAATAAACTGAACTAAAATAAAATTATATATTTCAACAGTGGAGATATTCTATTTAGTATAACCAAATGAGTCTCCAAACCCAAACAAGACTAAAATGAACATATACTGGGCTAAAAGTTACTTTTCTTGGCTCTTAGAAAAAAGCATGGCTCCCTTAAACTACTAAGCCGTCTCTAAGACCAAACAACATCAAAACAGCCAACCAGGCATCCAACCAAACAACTATCAAGTCAAACAGCAAATCAACCACCCATCAAAATGACCAAGAAACCAACCAAAATTCCAAACATCTAACCAATTCTAACTGAACCTTACTCTTCTCTTCCTAACCAAACCTTACTATTCTCCTCCTAATCAAACCTTACTCTTCTCTTCCTAACCAAACCTTACTCTTCTCCTGCTAATCGAACCTTACTCTTTACCTCCTAACTGAACCTTACTCTTCAGTTTTCTCTTCTACTCCAGGTACTAATTACAGGAGTAGAAGAGAAAATTAAACCTAGTTATGCTCCTGAACCTAGTTTTGCTCCTAGGAAACCAAAGAAACAAGGAGAAACCAGGAGAGAAACAAGGATAAACCAAGAGCAACCAAGAGAACCAGTACAAACTAGGATAAACTAGGAGAACCCAAAAGGAAACAAAAAGGAAACAAAAAAAAAACAAGAAACCAGCAGAAACCAGGAAAAACCGGGAGAAACCAGAAAAAACCGGAAGAAGCCAGGAGAAGCCAGGAGAAACCAAAGAAACTAGGAGAAACCAGGAGAGAAACTAGGAGAAACCAGGAGAAACTAGGAGAAACTAAGAGAAACCATGAGAAACCATGAGAGAAACTAGGAGAAACGAAGAAAAACCATGAGAAACCATAAGAGAAACTATGAGAAACTATGAGAAACCATGAGAAACCATCAGAGAAAGTAGGAGAAACGAAGAGAAACCATGAGAAATCATGAGAGAAACTATGAGAAACTATGAGAAACGATGAGAGAAACTATGAGAAACTATAAAAAACAATGAGAAACCATGAGAAACCATGAGAGAAAGTAGGAGAAACGAAGAGAAACCATGAGAAACCATGAGAAAAGGTGGGGGAAACGAAGAGAGACCATGAGAAACCATGAGAGAAACTATAAGAAACTATGAGAAACCATAAAAAACCATGAGAAACCATGAGAAACCATGAGAGAAAGTAGGAGAAACTATGAGAAACCATGAAAACCATGAAAAACCATGAGAGAAAGTAGGAGAAACGAAGAGAAACCATGAGAAACCATGAGAGAAAGTAGGAAAAACGAAGAGAAACCATGAGAAACCATGAGAGAAACTATGAGAAACTATGATAAACAATGAGAAACCATGAGAAACCATGAGAAATTATGAGAGAAAGTAGGAGAAACAAAGAGAAACCATGAGAGAAACTGTGAGAAACTATGAGAAACCATGAAAAACAATGACAAGAAACCATGAGAAACCATGTGAGAAACTATGAGAAACTATGAGAAACCATGAGAAACCATGAGAGAAACTAAACAAAAATATGAGAAACCATGAGAAACCATTAGAGAATGTAGGAGAAACGAAGAGAAACCATGAGACGCCATGAGAGAAACTATAAGAAACTATGGGAAGCCATGAGAAACCATGAGAGAAAGTACGAGAAACGAAGAAAAACCATGAGAAACCATGCGAAACCATGAGATAAACTATTAGAAACTATGAGAAACCATGACAAATCATGAAAAACCATGAGAGAAAGTAGGAGAAACAAAGAGAAACCATGTTAAACCATGAGAGAAACTATGAGAAACTACGTGAAACCATGAGAAACCATGAGAGAAACTATGAGAAACAAAGAGAAACCATGAGAAACTATGAGAAACCATGAGAAGCCATGAGAAACCATGAGAGAAACGAAGAGAAACCAATAGAAACCATGAGAAACCATAAGAAACCATGAGAACCCATGAGAAACCATGAGAAACCATGAGAGAAACGAATAGAACCATAAGAAACCATAAGAATCCATGAGAGAAACTATGAGAAACTATGAGAAACCATGAGAAACCATGAGAGAAACTATGAGACACTATGAGAAACTATGAGAAACCATGAGAAACATTGAGAAATCATGAGAGAAAGTAGGAGAAACGAAGATAACCATGAGTGAAACTATGAGAAACTATGAGAAACCATGAGAAACCATGAGAAACCATGAGAGAAAGTAGGAGAAACGAAGAGAAACCATGAGAAACCATGAGAAACTATGAGAGAAAGTAGAAGAAACAAAGAGAAACCATGAAAGAAACCATGAGAAACTATGAGAAACGAAAAACCCTGAGAAACCATGATAGAAAGTAGGAGAAACGATGAGAAACCATGAGAGAAAGTAGAAGAAACGAAGATAACCATGAGTGAAACTATGAGAAACTATGAGAAGCCATGAGAAACCATGAGAGAAAGAAGGAGAAACGAAGAGAAACCATGAGAAACCATGAGAGAAAGTAGAAGAAACGTAGAGAAACCATGAAAAGCTATGAGAAACCATAAGAGAAAGCAGGAGAAACGATGAGAAACCATGAGAGAAAGTAGGAGAAACGATGAGAAACCATGAGAGAAACTATGAAAAGCCATGAGAAACCATGAGAGAAAGTAGGAGAAACGAAGAGAAACGATGAGAAACCATGAGAGAAACTATGAGAAACCATGAGAAACCTCATCTTCTTCATCTCTTGCCAAAACTGGCCCTTTCTAAGGGTTTTCTTAAAAGCGTCAAAAATGATTTTTGACCAGAAAAATAAAGTATTTCTTACATCTTGTTTTACAACTGATGAGGAAATATTTGTGGTCTGAAATCAATCTGAAAAGCACAGTGAAAAGCAATGCTTCCTAATTCTTAGCTCTTTCAGTCATAATTTAACTGGAAAGTTAATATTTTCTCAAAAAGAGTGAGTAAGGCATAAAATTAGATCTTTTCTTTTTGCTTTTGATGCTTACAAATGTTGTTTTTGATGCTTTCAAATTACACTTTTGATGCTTTACTACACGGTCAAAGCATCCAAAGTGTTGAAATTGAAAGACTTGAGAATGGAGAGGGTACACTGAACGTTTCAGCCTGAAGCGCGGCAAAGAATACAATTTGATGCCAGGCCCGGGGTTCAAAAATCGATTCACCGACATAAGGTGAAACGACATAGGGTCAAACGACAAATGGCCAAAAAGCAACAAAAGGTAAAACGACAAAAGGTTAAACGGCATAGGGTAAAAAATTATGACAAACGGCAAAATTTCATGTAGACTGTTTTTGGTTAATTTGAACTACTTTTCTGTTCATTAGAACTAGTAGCGCAGCGCTTGGCCCCATAGACTGTCCTAGCCGCAGCGCTTGGCCAAAATACTGTCTTAACCTAACCTAAAAAATGTAGGGGCATCATTTAAATATATAATATAAAATAATTTTCCCGCCAAAATATTTCCCCCCCCCCCAAAAAAAAAATATCTGATTTTTAAAATCATATTTATTCTGATCTTTAATAATTTAGTAAGTTTTCTTTAGAAGATTTCCTCTCCGTTTTATATTTTAAAAAAAAAATCATGAGAGGTTGCGCGAATTGTTTCTTTTTTGAAATGGTCTTCATTTAGCCAATCTCCGGTCCACAATTGTAATCTCTCTGGTCTGAAAAAAGGCAAAATAGATCCACAAAAAGCTAGGTCTAATTTAGGTCGTGAAAAAATGAACGCAAAAATAAACATGTCCCCATTGATAGTGTAAATGCGAAAGTATGAGACCCATAAGAGTTCTATCTGATGTTCCTGTCTCGAGAAATTGATAGAAAAATGTGTCAAATTTATACGAAAATCTATAAATATAAAATGTTGTATAAAAATGGTAGGTTTAAACAGATCATTTTCAGCAAATACGCAATCAATCTGAAGACGAAGATATCCCAGAGGAGCTCCTATCATACTTTGAAATTTATAATTTTTCATTTGTTTTGGATATAATTGATAATATAATAAGTACATCCATATTACGTCACCAGAACTCCCACCAATGGCAGTGCAGACGGAGAAACGTACATGTGTATTGTAACACTTTGCACAGGAAATAAATCGTAAATACAGGGCCTCATTTAACCTAAATTATCAGCTATTATTAATTGAAATTATCTAATTCTAAATCCGTCTATAAAACATTAAAGTTTTATCAACTTAAATATTTGAAGTATAACAAAAAAGTATAATAAAGCAACTAGAAAAAAATCTTAATAGGAAAAAAGGGAAGGGAAATGGCGCTGGTCTTGCAAAAGAAAGCCAGTCGCACTTCTTTGCAGACGAGTTCGGTATTCCACACGCAACTCTTGCTACAGACACACAACATGACTACAGTCAAGGAAAGTGCAGAACAATGTGGTCTTCTCAGTTCTACTTTATTATTTTGTTAAATCCCGAACAACACACAAAGCTTGATTAAAATCTGTTTTTTTTCTTTTCTGCGTTAAAATCTGTATACCCTTTAAATATATTCTCTTTATACCCTTCAAATATTCTCTTTATACCCATTAAATATATTCTCTTCATACCCTTCAAATATTCTCTTTATACCCATCAAATATTCTTTTTATACTCTTCAAATATTCTCTTTATACCCTTTAAATATATTCTCTTTATACCCTTCAAATATTCTCTTTATACCCTTCAAATATTCTCTTTATGCCCTTCAAATATATTCTCTTTATACCCTTCAAATATTCTCTTTATACCCTTTAAATATATTCTCTTTATACCCATCAAATATTCTCTTTATACCCTTAAAATATTCTCTTTATACCCTTTAAACATATTCTCTTTATACCCTTCAAATATTCTCTTTTTACCCTTCAAATATTCTCTTTATATCCTTCAAATATTCTCTTTATACCCTTTAAATATATTCTCTTTATACCCTTCAAATATTCTCTTTATACCCTTCAAATATTCTCTTTGTATCTTCTTTATCCTTCTCAATAAATTCTCAATAATCACCAAAAATTTCATTGAATTCTTAAAATTTGACACTTATGTGATCTTTTTCCTTCTCATTTATAGGTCCTGGGGGGGGGGCAATTTGTATTTTTTCTTACATAACTTTAAAAATATTGGTCTGAGACTGTTAAAATTTTCAGACTTTTCCTAAATACTCATAGTCCTCCTTTTAAGCCTAAAACCGCGGACTTAAACACCTACTACTTAAGCCTTCAAGCACACTGCCTGAATGCGTACATTTTGAAAACTTTTTTGCATTCAAAGAAAAACTCTTAAAGAATGACGACTCTGAGTTCAAATTAATTATTTTGCCTAAAATAAAGGGATTTAATTGCTTATTTAACGATTTTACAAAGAAAGAAACAACCTTGTAGTTTACAGTTTCATGAATATATAAATTCAGATTCATAAATTCGCTTCAGTCGTCTCTTTAGTCTCATCATAACTGAATATTACAAATTTAAAATAGCTTGTAATCATTTAAATAATGTTTATTGGTTTAAAAAAAGTGTAAGTTTATTAAACTTGGTTCTCAAATTTTCATTAGCAATTTTTGGATTTTTTTTTGTTTAACAAAGTGTCTCAAACGGACCTAGTTAAGTAACAAATGACTATTTTCCCAAATTTTATTCTTTTACTTATAGTGTTGACTTAGATATATATGATATAAAATATATATAAAATACATACATTACAATTTTTTATCAAACAATTACCAATACACAAATGTGCACTCCTAGACATGTATAAAGCACAAATGCCAAGATTCTTATGTACTGGATATACCTACAGTACACGCCTTCGGTTCGGTTTTACTTACACACACTCTTTTGGTACAGACACACAAACACACATGCTTAGAAACAAATAAATATACCTCCGTTTTATTACCTAGCTAATCACATTTGACTTTTATTGATTGCATGAGAAACTGCATTAAATCGAAATATGGAAAACATTTATGTATTCATTAAAGTTGTTTTAAAAGGGATTTAATGGTGAATAAAATTGATCAAACACGTCATTTACTTCTTTTATTTTAGTTTTACACCATTTTAAAATAATTTGGGTTTCTTGTTTATTTGAAATCTTTTAAAGGGTCCAATATAGAAAATAGCCCGATTATATATTTCTTTTCTGTTTGGAACTGCTTGAAAAAAAATAGGGTCAAACGACAAATGGCCAAAAAGCAACAAAAGGTAAAACGACAAAAGGTTAAACGGCATAGGGTAAAAAATTATGACAAACGGCAAANTATAGATAAACATGAAACATTTTATTTCAAACATATATTTTATACAGTTTTATTATATTTGATTTAAAAGTTATAAAAATCTACAGGTGTCAAATTAATTATGTGACCTGGGTCAAAGGAAAATATACAAAAATACCAACAGGTTGGGGGTAAAAACTTTAATAGATATATTACTAGTTATATTATATAAATATATTTTCTAAGCTGGGAATAACAGATATTTTAGAGTTTTTTAAAAAAAAATTTGAAAGAATATTTTTTAGATGAATATATTAAACCACCATGCAACAGTTGTTGATCACCCACCTGTCCACAGTTGATTATGCAGAAACTAATCATTGAAATATTCAAGTGTATTAGAAGGTATAAGTAGATATATCCAGATATCTTAGAAGGTAGAAGTAGATATATCCAGATATATTAGAAGGTAGAAGTAGATATATCCAGATATCTTAGAAGGTACAAGTAGATATATCCAGATATATTAGAAGGTAGAAGTAGATATATCCAGATATATTAGAAGGTAGAAGTAGATATATCCAGATATATTAGAAGGTAGAAGTANATCCATGTATCAGCACTATAAACTATATTAATGGTATCCATGTATCAGCACTATAAACTATATTAATGGTATCCATGTATCAGCACTATAAACTATATTAATGGTATCCATGTATCAGCACTATAAACTATATTAATGGTATCCATGTATCAGCACTATAAACTATATTAATGGTATCCATGTATCAGCACTATAAACTATATTAATGGTACCCATGTATCAGCACTATAAACTATATTAATGGTATCCATGTATCAGCACTATAAACTATAGTAATGGTATCCATGTATCAGCACTATAAACTATATTAATGGTATCCACGTATCAGCACAATAAACTATATTAATGGTATCCATATATCAGCACTATAAACTATATTAATGGTATCCACGTATCAGCACTAAGGATATTTTAGAATGAATAAGATTATCTTTTAGAATGAATAAGATTATATTATAGAAAGAATAAGATTATATTTTAGAATGAATAAGCTTATATTATAGAATGAATAAGATTATATTTTAGAAAAAATAAGATTATATTATAGAATGAATAAGATTATATTTTAGAATGAATAAGATTATATTATAGAATGAATAAGATTATATTTTAGAAAGAATAAGATTACATTTTAGAAAGAATAAGATTATATTTTAGAAAGAATAAGATTATATTTTAGAATGAATAAGATTATATTTTAGAATGAATAAGATGATATTTCTCCAGATGATTCTTCTGTTTCTCATAGCTTTGGTTTCCTCGGCTATAATACAAGGGTATATAGAGTGTGAATATTTATAAAAGAAACCAATTGAACATCATCATCAAAACTAACTATCAATTCTTTAAAAACAAAAAATCGAAGAACCTTTTATTTTTGATTGTTAGTAAATTAATTATACATCTGCTGTGCTAATCCCTTGGTTAACACTGCATTCTTACAGTGTTATTTGATTTCGTTTGGGTTTTAAAACTTTTTAAGGGTTTTGAACCATCCTTAACCTGGAATAGATGCTAATGGTATACTACAATGAATATCATGACAGTCGGGTTCCTCCCCTAACCTATCCTATCCTAGCCACAGCGCTCAGCCTAAAAAATGTCGTTACCTAACATGGACCGATGCTTACCCTCTGATATAATTCAAACCTTTAAAAAGTGTAAGTAGTCCTGGTCGTGTACACTGTGCAGGACGTGTCCAGGACGTGTCCAGGACGTCCAGCATACAAAAAGTGTGCATATAATCTACAAAAAGTGTTCATCCAACCTAAAAAGAAGTACATCCAACAAACAAAAGGGCAACTTCCCTAATGGCAGACTCCCAAACTTTCATTTTCCGTTTCCGTTTCTTAGTTTCTTATTCGGATGATTCTTCCTTAGTAGGTCGGTTTAAGTGTTAGTTTGTTAATATTTTAAATTTTTTTCAGGACTGAGGATGATAACATTTTAATCGAAATATATATCTTGAACTGTCAGTCTATATTTTTTCGAAGTTTGGCTGAGATAGCTGTACACCTGGTGTAACTTTGTTATGAACATGTATGAAACCAAATGATGAAATGGAACGGGTCGATTATGTTATTCTCTGCTTAAAGAATAAACTCCTATCTTCCTCTACTTGCTAGCAACCTTATGAATAAACCATGACTATAATAGTAAAATACTGGGATTCCTAAAGTTTATCACACTTGTATATACTAATAGAGATGGAAAAAAACAAACGGTTAGCGAAAGGAATAATGATGTGAAGCCATCAGAAACACAGTATTGTACAGGGTAAGCTTTTAAAAAATAAATGTATGAAAAAAATTTATATTTGTATTTGAAGAAAAAACTACAGGGGTTTACTCTTTAATAATTCCACCTTAAACATACATTTTTTTCCGGGGGGGGACGCTTAACATGTTGGTGGGCTGAATTCCACTTAAAAGGCGCTAAGCCTTCATCGCCACCCCCCTTGTTTTACGCATCTTTTGATATGTTATCGATTAACCATTAATTTTTTTTCNCCTTCAACGCCACCCCCCTTGTTTTACGCATCTTTTGATATGTTATCGATTAACCATTATTTTTTTTTCTCGAAAAAATCGTTTGTTCGGTAAAAAACGATATTTTTCAAAAGTTCGTTCAAAGAACCATTCTTTAATATTTTTTTTCAAACGTTTTGAAAAATTCTTTTGTTCATTAAAATCGATAGTTTTTTTAAGTTTGTGTGAACGAGCTATTAAAAATTCTGTCTCATCTCTAGATAGAACATCAGATGCCCATCTCTAGATAGAACATCAGATGTCCATCTCTAGATAGAACATCAGATGCCCATCTCTAGATAGAACATCAGATGCCCATCTCTAGATAGAACATCAGATGCCCATCTCTAGATAGAACATCAGATACCCATCTCTAGTTAGGATATCAGATGCCCATCTCTAGATAGAACATCAGATACCCATCACTAGATAGGACATCAGGTGCCCATCTCTAGATAGGATATCAGATGCCCATCTCTAGAAAGGACATCAGATGCCCATCTCTAGATAGAACATCAGATACCCATCTCTAGTTAGGACATCAGATGCCCATCTCTACATAGAACATCAGATACCCATCTCTAGATAGAACATCAGATACTCATCTCTAGATAGAACATCAGATACCCATCTCTAGATAGGATATCAGATGCCCATCTCTAGACAGAACATCAGATACCCATCTCTAGATAGGACATCAGCTGCCCATCTCTAGATAGGATATCAGATTCCCATCTCTAGAAAGGACATCAGATGCCCATCTCTAGATAGGACATCAGATGCCCAACTCTAGATAGGACATCAGATGCCCATCTCTAGATAGGACATCAGACGCCCATCTCTAGATAGAACATCAGATACCCATCTCTAGTTAGGACATCAGATGCCCATCTCTACATAGAACATCAGATACCCATCTCTAGATAGGACATCAGATGCCCATCTCTAGATAGGATATCAGATGCCCATCTCTAGATAGAATATCAGATGCCCATCTCTAGATAGGATATCAGATGCCCATCTCTAGATAGGATATCAGATGCCCATCTCTAGATAGAACATCAGATGCCCATCTCTAGATAGAACATCAGATGCCCATCTCTAGATAGAACATCAGATGCCCATCTCTAGATAAGACATCAGATGCCCATCTCTAGATAGGACATCAGATACCCATCTCTAGATAGAACATCAGATACCCATCTCTAGATAAGACATCAGAGGCTTAGACTTTCTCTCTTGTCTTATTTGTCTAATCTGTATTTAGACAAACTACAAACTTACGGCTAAATCAAGGACAATCCCTAGATCTAGAAACCCCAGTCGGGATTAATGGAACTTTTCTGTCAGGTTGTCAGGTGATACTTTGATATCTTGATACCTTTATACGCATGATACCATAATATCTTGATACCTTTATACACATGATACCTTGATACACTTGATACCTTTATAAACTTGATACATTTATACACTTGATACCTTGATACCTCTTTACACATGATACACTTGATACCTTTATACACTTGATACCTTTATACACTTGATACCTTTACAAACTTGATACCTTGATACCTTTATAAACTTGATACATTTATACACTTGATACCTTGATACCTATATACACATGATACCTTGATACCTTTTTACACATGATACCTTGATACTTTTATACACTTTACCTTTATACCTACAAATACTTTGATAGCTTGATTCTATTATACACTTGATACCTTGATATCTTTATACACATGGAATACCTTGATACCTTTATACACATGGTATACCTTGATACATTTTAAAGTATGTTACCTTGAAAGCTTGACACCTTTATACACATAATAGCTTGATATGGTGATACCTTTATACACATTTGTTCTATGTTGATATGATATCTTGATATGTTAATAGCTTGGTATGTTGATACCTTTATACACATGATAGCTTTATAGCTTAAAAGCTTGATAGCTTGATATTTTGAAACCTTGATACCTAGATATCTTAATACATTTATATACACTTGATAGCTTAATAGCTTAATAGCTTGACATTCTGATACTTTTATACACATAATATCTTTATACACATATTATCTTCATACACATAATACCTTCATACACATAATATCTTTATACACATAATACCTTTATACACATAATATCTTTATACACATAATATCTTTATACACATAATATCTTTATACACATAATATCTTTATACACATAATATCTTTATACACATAATATCTTTATACACATAATATCTTTATACACATAATATCTTTATACACATAATATCTTTATACACATAATATCTTTATACACATAATATCTTTATACACATAATATCTTTATACACATAATATCTTTATACACATAATATCTTTATACACATAATATCTTTATACACATAATATCTTTATACACATAATATCTTTATACACATAATATCTTTATACACATAATATCTTTATACACATAATATCTTTATACACATAATATCTTTATACACATAATATCTTTATACACATAATATCTTTATACACATAATATCTTTATACACATAATATCTTTATACACATAATATCTTTATACACATAATATCTTTATACACATAATATCTTTATACACATAATATCTTTATACACATAATATCTTTATACACATAATATCTTTATACACATAATATCTTTATACACATAATATCTTTATACACATAATATCTTTATACACATAATATCTTTATACACATAATATCTTTATACACATAATATCTTTATACACATAATATCTTTATACACATAATACCTTTATACACGTGATAGCTTTATTACTTGATAACTTGAAAGCTTGATACCTTTATAAGTTAATACCTTGATATGTTAATACCTTGATATGTTAATACCTTGATATGTTAATACCTTGATATGTTAATACTTTGATATGTTAATACCTTGATATGTAAATACCTTGATATGTTCAAATCTTGACGTGGTAATACCTTGATATGTTAATAACTTGATATGTTCATACCTTGATATGTTCAAATCTTGATGTGGTAATACCTTGATATGTTAATATCTTGAATGTTTAATTATGTTTATATTAATTAAAAGTTTCAGATGGGCGTAAAGTGCATTAGGAAGCATACATAGTATTTTGATATCTTAAATGGAGTGTGCGAAAAATCAAATTCGATATCATCGATCGCTACTAATTTTATTTTTAACTTATAGTCTATATGAAGAAAATGGTTAAAATATTCTATGCAGTTCAGTAAATAATTTGAATAAATTTAAATTTAGTTAATATTTCGACGTCGAAATCAGAGCCACCTAGCGGCCAAATAATCGTCGTTTAAAGTGAATTATACATAAAACAAATAAAAAATATTATACAGGGTGTCCCAAAAACATGGGAATTCAGTGACGAATTAGATATCGTCTTTGTTATGAATTAGCATTGTAATACCTAATTTCAAAAGCCATAATATTACTATGTCTGCTAGAGTTTATTTTATGAAAAGGGTAAAAGACTGTTAAGATGTGGCTTAAATGTCTCTGCATGATGAACACTGAACAGTGAAGACGGACAAGTTTACTGTTTGTAAACTGTAATTTTCTTTTTTTACTAACTACAACCGTATGCAGTCAAAACATAAACAAACAAAATGTGAACAATAGCAGACGAAACTCATACAGATTACAGCTTTCTCAGTATGTATCACTATACTAAATCAAAGAATTATTTAAAAAGACGAATACGATATCGAATTCGTCACTGAATTTCCATGTTTATTGGGACACCCTGTACAATATTATATTTATTTACGAATGCATCGAATTGAATTCGGTGATAACAATTTGTAATATCTGAATGTTTGATTTTAAATTTGATTGAATTATTTACGATTTGATCGGAGTAATGCAAATCTGTAAATCAGTCTATACCCCCATTCATTTTCTGTGAACACTCCTTTTACTAGCTTCATACCAGTATATTATCTTGATACATTGATATTTCAATACCTTAATATGTAAATATTGTAATTATACTTGATGCCATTACCTCACTGGGCTTTGATTAAAGGGACTGTAAGTGTAATTTCAAGTGACCCTCCAAGATGGCCGATGCCCTGTTCACAACGGTACCCTTTAAAGCTTTGTCTGATCATGTATGAATAAGATATCCATAATTTTGTTTCCTTAAGCTGTTTATTTGCGTTTTCTCTGCAAAATTAACTTGCGCATTTCTTTCTTTAAAAAGCAATAAAATGATTATCAGATTTNATCAGACAAAGGACGGTATCTTCCATATTTTGAATCAGACAAAGGACGGTATCTTCCATATTTTGGATCAGACGAAGGATTCAAGTATACCGTAGAAAATCGGGTATTGCCATCTTTGCATGGAGGGTCACTTGAGATTACGCTTACAGTCCCTTTAATAATTATGTATTTACTCAGGACTCCTGGGATGTGGCGATCTATAAAGATAGTCAAGAACTAAGTCAATGGAGAATCAAGTAATAATTAAAAATGATCTATCAAGATTTATCATAATTAAAAAAAATAAAATAAAATTTCAAATTAGATTAAATTTTCCTGTTTACCTATCACTGATCGCCCCAGATTTTGAACCGTGTATTTTAGGGTTGAGATTATTGATATGAACCTGCCTTGTTCTTCCTCTGGCTTCAGGTACAACTATTCAACACTCCCGAAGATACAGTGTGTCCCACGAAACATGAGAGTTGGTAAATAGTTTTGAATATCGTCTTCCATACACTGTATTGGATAGTAAAGGTTGTTTTCAATTTATTTCGTTTCTTTTGCTCAAATATGTTTTATTTTGAAGTTAATTTTACTATAATATGACTCCTATATGATATTTTATTATTGTCTTTGTTATTAAAGAACTTAAGAAATGATGGAAGAAGACATTCTAAACTATTTACCAACTGTTATATTTCGTGGTGACAACCTGTAGCACAAACAAATTGAAACTTTTAGCAACATATTTATTTCATTTTGGTTCATGTTTTTAGGGGGGTAGGCTGAATATCATAAAATTCTGATTTGTTCACTAAACTAATATAATACTTTTATCTGTGTAGTGTAGCGTCTTTAAGGAGAAAAACGCTTAATGCTCCAGAAGCAAGACGGATTCATTAAATTCAATATGTTGCATTTTACCACTCAAACCGTTAATAATTCAATTATATCTAAAACTGATCATCTTAATCGTACATTACATAATTTCCAAATTTAATTTGGATTATATTCGGATGTATCTGATAAAGAATAATATTGTTGTCTTATTCTTTGTTGACAACTTGTTTTTACGGCTGGAACTGGATTTTTAAACATTTCTGGAAAATGTGAAAATGTCGTCTTCGTTATTAGAAATCCTCGAAAGTTCAGGAATGAATATTCTCAAAAGTTATTGATCGTCTTATATTAAAATTTAATATTTTATTACATGTAAAACAAAATTTCGCGAACACTCCTTTAAGCCAAAAATCTCCAAAAATGATTTTTTTTCGAGACACAGACTTTCATTCCAGAAAAATATGAATTTTTTATAAGTCAGAAGTGAAAGTGCGTTAAAATAATTTGGAATATAATACATTTTGGGGGTGCTACAATTCTTTTGCTTGTGTAAGTTTTGCTAGCATTCCTGTTTGAAAGTATATCCAATTAAAAAAAATTTATTTTTTTATTTTTAGGATCATGGAGGACGCAAATCGTCGGCAAAATGTTCTTTACTGCAATGAAAAGGAAAAATTTGGGCCTTTTTTAAAATATATTTATATTTTGATATTTTTTTATAAAACTATTATTCACTTTTACATTGAAGCTAAAATTAAATGCAAAATAAAAAGTTTAAATTATAGAAATTTCATAAATGAATATCGAAGTTATATTATTGCGTGAACCCCCTGTCTGGTTGTATTTCCTACTGAAAGAGACTGCAGACGTAATTTCAAGTGTTTCGCCATTTGTAGAAAGGCTTGTCCGATTCACATGGGGACCCTTTGAACCATTATCTGATTCACATGGGGACCCTTTGAACCATTATCTGATCCCTTTGAACCATTATCTGATTCACATGGGGACCCTTTGAACCATTATCCGATTCACATGGGGACCCTTTGAACCATTATCTGATTCACATGGGGACCCTTTGAACCATTATCTGATCAAGTTCCAATTGAATGTCAAGATTCTATAAATATCCTTATTCTTAAGTTTCGTCAATTAGATTCTAGTACAATAGATGGCAACGTAGAATTTGTACACTCTCAGTACATCTGCACATGTATTCTGACGTCACAAGTGTCAATTCAGTATTGTGCCCGACAAAATTTATGTATAATAGTGACAATTTTTTAGCAAAGTGCTTATCTTACAGTAAAATAAATACCATTTTATGTGCTATTTAGTTTCTGATTTTACACTTTTTTATATAATCTTTGAGAACATATCAACTAATGTGAGAAAATTTCGTATTCCTTGTTATATTTGACACTTGTGACGTCGTGTTGGCCTATTTCTATGTTGCCACCTATTGTACTTGATAATCTATTTGAGTTTCATAAAACTCCAGGTCATGGCATTGTACTGAGTGTTCATTTTTACATGTCATTTAGACTTGTGGTTTCCAGGGACTAGATTACCAGCTATAGTTACGTTTACAGTCCCTTTAAGGTGCAAACCTCTTTAGGGTGCAAACCTAAACTATATAGTTACGCTTACATTCTCTTTGGGGTACAAACCTAACCATATAGTTACGTTTACAGTCCCTTTAAGGTGCAAACCTAACTATATAGTTACGTTTACAGTCCCTTTAAGGTGCAAACCTAACTAGAAACCTAGAATTATATACTCTCCAATGTGTTAAGCAATATCAAACAAAAATGTAATTCTTTTATTCATGTTCTTAATTGTTGAATCAGTTTTAAGCCTGTTTTCTTCGTGTTTTCTAAGAGGAGACATAGCATTTTCTTTTGTTGCATTTATTCATCTCCGACCGCTGTAAATAAAATACTTCATAAATTATGAATATTATATTTCGTCGAAATTTTTACATAAAGTGACGGCCTTAAATCGGCTTTGTCATTTAATATTTATAAAATGAAATAGATGAAAAAATAGATTTTACGACTTTGGGTCTTCTAAAGTGCATTAGAAATAGCTAAGATGTCCTAAGCCCAAAACTATATTGCCTATTCTTTGAGTTTGTTTGTAAGAATTATTAAATTAACAAAAAAGTGTAGAAAAATTAGACCTGAAAACTTTAGAATAAAATACCTTTAATCCTGATAGCTAATCTGAATATCCAATGCGGACACTTTTAATTTCCTTCTTAATCCGCTCTTTTGAATTCCCACCAATGAGAGTTGAGACTCAGTTGATTCATTAAAATTTCGAATTTCTCGGCTTCTCTATTTTTGGCTGTTCTGGTTTCTCCAAACCAAACCTGATTTGTTGAGTTACACCTTTTGTTGCTACAAACTTAAGATTTATTTATCTCGATATCCACAATTTTAAAGTTTTCAGCTCAGGACGATTTAAAAATCGTCACTGGCTTTCCAGTTAGGACCTTTTGTAACATTATTTTTCATTTTAGAGGACGACTGATAGTCAGGAGATATTCTTTTCTCATGAGCACTTCATTCAACTCAAGTTCGCTAATGAGGTGAGTCATTGGGGAACTTCAATTCAATTCTAGGAGAACTGTAAGATTTAAAAACATTACTGTTTAAAAATCTATTTTTCTTTTCTTAGAAGAAATGATGTATAGAAACTAAAATCAATTTAAACACCAATTCATCTTGATTTTATGTGCTTCATGTGCTTCATGTGCACAGTTAAACATTTTCCTTTTTTATTTCTTAATTTTTACACAGCTTGTGCACAAATATTTGAGCCATGGTTTTATTCTCAAATGCAGGCCGTGTCCCACGAAAAAGTCGTCTTTGGTCTTTAAATAAATTTGAGATATTCAGTCGTCAACCTCCTTTCGTATATATGAAACTTGAAACAATAACCGCATAATTTTCCTAGTCCTGGAATTTCCAAATTGTGTTCTGCTATTTTTGTGCTCTCAATATCACCGGAGGGATGATAAATTTTGTTCAGATTTTGACAATTTTTGTTTTATTTCTAAAAATGGAAATTCTTAATATTCCCGGTAATTTTAGAAATCCCGGGTATTTTATAACTGTTAACTATAAAATTTGTTTTAATGTCGTATATTAGATCAAAGATCAAAGACGACCTTCAAGTCATCTTGCTACTGTCATGTTTCGTGGGACACCCTGTAGATTATTAAGGGCATTTGTTTCACATTGTTACATTGTTAGTCTCAAATGTTTAATGATAAACATTCTTTAAAATGTGTATTGAGCTCTCCTGTTGAAGGAGCAATAATATGATGTTTTATATGTTATCTTTAAAATTGTAATACTAATGTTCCTTCAGAAATATACAATTTGAATTGAATTGAATTTAGAATGTGTGTAGAGAGGCAGATGGATGCATTAACCTCAGATTCAAATTTAGAATAAGGTAAAGCAAGAAATATCTGTTTTAACAATTGAAAGAAAAATTAATTTTCCACACTTTTTCGACATTTAAATTCATATCAGATCAGTAAAGTCTTTGTACCTGAGAAGAGTATTATTGAATTTTTGAAAAGATTTAATTCAGTTCCGTTTGTTTAAAAGTTTCCATTTTAAAATTTTAAAATTGGGTAAATGATTTTGTCTTTTTTTAATTTTCATAGGGAAAAAAAACTTGATAGAATGTTTTTGCTCCACTCAAATCAAGTTTTAATCTTTATATTCAAATGTTTTTATTGTATGTTTCAAGACTTGTCAGTTGCCAACAATATTAGAACTTGTCATTGTCACATATGTTTTTCTTTCTATAAAGATAATAAAGGGGGAGCATAGGGTCAAGGTTACAAGGTAAAAAGAGAACAGAAATGGTACAATATCATTATATTAATCAAGTATTAACTATTTTGATATAAATATATCTTTTATATTAGATAATATTAAGCAGACCTGGACGTAAATAAATTTTTTTTCTGTATTAATTGGTTTTTTTTCTCAATTTCAAAAAGTCTGAACCGTCCGGAGCCAAATTTTTTGTGACAGCTCACATATGATCCTTGGAATCATGATTTCACTTATTGTTTATTTGATAATTTACTTCAGTGTAATTTTACGGAAATGTACACCAATATATTTCCGTAAAATTAGTCGAAAAACAACAGAAATCTACGGAAATTGGATCATTTCATTATTCGGTGGCCGAATTAAAAAAAAATTTAGCCGCGTCTTAAATTTGAGGCGCGGCTCAAATATGGTTCCACTTAAATTTATACTCAATGTTTCAAGATTTAAGCTGGCGCTCAATTGAATCTGGTTTTTGGCGGATTTGAGACGAGGCTCAAATTCATTAAATTCCGGTCACCGGACATTTTGATATCTGCAAAGATTTTGACAGAATTATTTTTTTCATCTTTTTAAAAAAGGCTTTTTGTCATCAAATGTTTAAAGAAAAACCCCGCAAATTTTGAGTTTTACAATTATGAACGCAATTTTTGCTAAAAGAGGGGTGCCCCTGAATGCCTAATAATATAAATTACTATTAAATACTAACTTAAGGGCCCGGCGTTGCCCGTGGAAAAAAATGTGAATAAAAACTTGATAAAGCACATTTGGTCAGCAACATATTGATTAACGTCTTGTTTTAATTTAAAAATTTCGTTCAGAATTAGGCCATTTTGTGATCATTTTATTCACAAGAAAATATTGCTTAAATTAGGTTGTATTTAATTAATGCCACAAACTAAGGTTAAAAACGACTGTTTATTTAGAATAGAAATCCTCTACGTATTTATTAACATGAACCCTCTTTAGTGCTCCTGAGGGTTCTAGAGTAGCTCTAACTTGTCAATATTTCAACCTGAGCCCACTGTGTGAATCCAGGAGATGCTCCTCATATACTGGAGACAAGGATTTCTTACAGGTAGAATATAAATATATATTTTCTGTGATCTTGAAGGAGTGTCTGGTTAGATATGGTAGTTTGGTAGAGATTAGAGATATTTTGAGACTTATCAGACTTTTGTGTGATTTATAATTTCCAAGTAAGAGCGCCAAATCGATCTTTGAAATCCTCTTCGGCACTCGTCCCTACAGGCTGGTTGTGCAGCGCAAGAGGGCTGCCTAGCAGGTTGTTTCTAAGAAATAATTTATTTCCTAGGTCTAATAATTATCTAGGATATCATGAGTCAGACTAGATATGAAGAGAGTGATCTGATAATTATCTAAGAAATCATGAATCAGACTAGATATGAAGAGATCTGATAATTATCTAGGATATGATGAGTCAGACTCGATATGAAGATAGTGATCTGATAATTATCTAGGATATCATGAGCCAGACTAGATATGAAGAGAGTGATCTGTATCTAGGATATCATGAACCAGACTAGATATGAAGAGAGTGATCTGATAATTATCTAGGATATCATGAACCAGACTAGATATGAAGAGATCTGATAATTATCTAGGATATCATGAACCAGACTAGATATGAAGAGAGTGATCTGATAATTATCTAGGATATCATGAGCCAGACTAGATATGAAGAGAGTGATCTGATATTTATCTAGGATATTATGAGCCAGACTAGATATAAAGAAAGTGATCTGATAATTATCTAGGATATCATGAGCCAGACTAGATATGAAGAGATCTGATAATTATCTAGGATATCATGAGTCAGACTAGATATGAAGAGAGTGATCTGATAATTATCTAGGAAATCATGAATCAGACTAGATATGAAGAGATCTGATAATTATCCAGGATATCATAAGTCAGACTAGATATAAAGATAGTGATCTGATAATTATCTAGGATATCATAAGCCAGACTAGATTTGAAGAAAGTGATCTGAATCTAGGATATCATGAACCAGACTAGATATGATGAGAGTGATCTGATAATTATCTAGGATATCATGAGCCAGACTAGAGATGAAGAGATCTGATAATTATCTAGGATATCATGAACCAGACTAGATATGAATATCTGATAATTATCTAGGATATCATGAGCCAGACTGGATATGAAGAGAGGGATCTGATAATTATCTAGGATATCATGAGCCAGACTAGATATGAAGAGATCTGATAATTATCTAGGATATCATGAGCCAGACTAGATATGAAGAGATCTGATAATTATCTAGGATATCATGAACCAGACTAGATATGAATATCTGATAATTATCTAGGATATCATGAGCCAGACTAGATATGAAGAGACTAATCTGATAATTATCTAGGATATCATGAGCCAGACTAGATATGAAGAGAGGGATCTGATAATTATCTAGGATATCATAAGCCAGACTAGTTATGAAGAGATCTGATAATTATCTAGGATATCATGAGTAAGACTAGATATGAAGAGATCTGATAATTATCTAGGATATCATGAGCCAGACTAGATATGAAGAGATCTGATAATTATCTCGGATATCATGAGTCAGACTAGATATGAAGAGATCTGATAATTATCTAGGATATCATGAGCTAGACTAGATATGAAGAGATCTGATAATTATCTAGGATATCATGAACCAGACTAGATATGAAGAGATCTGATAATTATCTAGGATATCATGAACCAGACTAGATATGAAGAGAGTGATCTGATAATTATCTAGGATATCATGAGTAAGACTAGATATGAAGAGAGGGATCTGATAATTATCTAGGATATCATGAGCCAGACTAGATATGAAGAGATCTGATAATTATCTAGGATATCATAAGCCAGACTAGTTATGAAGAGATCTGATAATTATCCAGGATATCATGAGCCAGACTAGATATGAAGAGGGAGATCTGATAATTATCTAGGATATCATGAACCAGACTAGATATGAAGAGAGGGATCTGATAATTATCTAGGATATTATGAGCCAGACTAGATATGAAGAGAGTGATCTGATAATTATCTAGGATATTATGAACCAGACTAGATATGAAGAGAGGGATCTGATAATTATCTAGGATATCATGAGCCAGACTAGATATGAAGAGAGTGGTCTGATAATTATCTAGGATATCATGAACCAGACTAGAGATGAAGAGATCTGATAATTATCTAGGATATCATGAGCCAGACTAGATATGAAGAGAGTGATTTGATAATTATCTAGGATATCATGAGCCAGACTAGATATGAAGAGAGGGATCTGCAAGGAAAAACAGTTGTATCCAAGAGGCAGCATCACACACTTTACTTTCTCTCCAATTCATACCAACTTAGGAATAAATCAATTTGCTTAAAAACTAAAAAAATTAATAATTATATAATCATATTTACCTCGACAAAGAAACCAATTATTAAAACAAAACGAAAAATAATTAATTTCATAAATATTCGAATGAATATTTGCATAAAGTTTGTATATGAGTGAAATTCTTTGAACGTATTGTTCTTCCACAAATATGAACCAGGAAAAAAAACACATATAAACTAGAAATATAAAACAGTTTCCACGAGAGAAATGTTCAGTTATATTTCTATAAAAGGTTGTGAGTCTCTGTCACAAACTAAAATTTTCTTATTCCGTTATATTTGCATCCTGATTAAACTTAGATTATTTGATCTAAAAGATTTCCTAATTTGAAATATCTGAGGTCTACAACATTGGGTTGTAAAGATAAAGAAATAAAAAAGTTTGATTTTATTTCAAAGACTCAATTCATTTGTAAATAAATCTTAACTTTCACAAATATATTTTTTAAATTATTGATTTATTCCTTCCTAGTCCATCTGATGGAAACTTTGGGTTTTCCTGCACCTACAGCTTTATAAACAATATTTAAACAGAGTTGGAATTTTCATCAAACCTCTTTATATTTGGCTAATTAGATTTCAATAAAAAGTATAATAGTTTCAAATACATTTTAAAAACATTTTTTATGTAAACACTACTCAAATATTAGGTCTGCAAAAATATCAAAATGTAAAATGCCTAATGATGAAATTCCTAAGTATGGAGTACAAACGCAGTACGTTTCAATTAGGTCTAACAGCTAGAAATGTAAAAAAGTCAGAATAAAATCATAATAACGGATCCTACTGCATTGTTCATCTCAAAACCGGTTAAATGTCAACAACAAAAAACAAAGAGGAGACGAGATTTTTGATCATTCGGCATTTGATATTCTGATATTTTTGCATTAGGTCTTTTGGATCAAATTGTACAAAAAATCTGATCATTTGATGTTTTTCTTTGACCAAATATTGGTTAATTCACATCGAGAACTAAATCTAATGTGTACATCTAAGAAAAAAAAATGTAAAAGCAAATATTTAGCTTGATTTTTAGGTTATATAGCTTTATGTGTATGAAGAAATATGTACATAAAACACATTTCAGCTTCTCCCATGGTCATCTTTAGTGCTAGCACTTTCAAAATGTTTGTTAATTATCTTGAAGTCATGATAAACAAGTTCAACATTTTGATCAGCATATATCTTTAAGGGTTTTTAAATGAGAAGCAAAGAAAAAAAATTATTTTTTCTATTTTAAGCTCGAAAAAGCCGTAATTTTCACAATTATGTGATGATTTTTTTGAAATATGAGAAACCAAGTAGAAACATTTAATAAATTCTCGACCGGACACAAGCTAGTAGTCTATCAATACCAAACCACTGGGCACGATCTCCTCAGCTATGAATGTTAACACGGACACAAGCTAGTAGTCTATCAATGCCAAACCACTGGACACGATCTTGTCAGCTATTAGTGTCAACATGTACACAAGCTAGTAGTCTATCAATACCAAACCACTGGGCACGATCTCCTCAGCTATGAATGTCAACACAGACACAAGCTAGTAGTCTATCAATGCCAAACCATTGGACATGATCTTGTCAGCTCTGATTGTCAATACAGACACAAGCTAGCAGTCTATCAATACCAAACCACTGGACATGATCTCGTCAGCTCTGATTGTCAATACAGACACAAGCTAGTAATCTATCAATCCCAAACCAATGGGCACGATCTAAACTTGTATGTTTCAACGAGAACCAAATTACTCTAACACCGTAATCAAAGCGGAGTGTCTTGCCACTAATGTGTATTTTGAAATCTAGATTACATGTTGAGTTTAATATACATAATTACAGGGTTTACTCAGATATATATCATCGTAGTTAAGCTAATCACAATAAGTAGCTAGTTTAGTCATATTACAAGTTTTGCGTAGTTAAGGATTAGCGCAGTTAGGTATAAAGACCGTAATTCCGCTAGGGATGTTCAACTGTATTTATTACACGCCTAACGTGAGAGTTTATATCAAGAGGCTTAGAGAAAGGGACAGGGTTTGCTTAAAATGAGAGCAGAACTAGATACTAGGACAGGGAGTCAAAAAGGGGGGAAATTAAGATGTAGAAAAGGAGAGATAATGAGATCTAATATGGAAGAAGAGATAAGGGAGAAATGATGTTGTGATATTGAAAAAGATATAAGAGAGAAATGATGTTGAAGAGATAGAGATGACTTGGCGTGAACTGAAAGAAAGGGCGGTATTGAAGATAAATAAATTAGAATTCTAATGGAATGCCCCCCCCCCCCCTTCCCTCCCAGGGCTTGTGTAATATATGAATGCTGCAAGATTTCACATATGTTTTCCTATCTATCTATCAACATAATCTATCTATAAATGTGTTGAGTTGTATAACTGTCTATCTTTCTATCATCAGCATCTTATTTCCCCACCCACTCTCTAGAGTCTAG